AAAAAAGTTTTTACTAGCTCATATCGCAAAATGCTGATACCCGCTCATAGATTCGGAAGGCGCTTATTAAAATCAAATGCCTAAATTTTCTTTTTTCTAAGTTCGTTTTTTTCTCTGGCAGGAGGCAAAAAAAGGCATGGCAGTTGCGGGAAAAATAAATGTAACTCCTGTGGAGGAGAAACCAGTAGATGATGAACCTTTAGTATTTGCTAATAAGCAGGTACAGCCCTAGAATTTGATGTTTTGGTTCAATTTGTTTCCACTAATTGGGAAACACTATGAAAAGTTTCGTTTCCTCCTCTCACCAATTATTCTTTTTCTTTAGGAGGCAAAAAACGCATTCAAATCACTTTTGGAATCTGCAAATGTTCAGTCTGATTGGACCTGGGAACAGGTAGCTTCACTATACATTGTGTACTCTTTTCATCTTCATCTTTCCTAATAAGCTTATGACTGATATTGAAATTCATACCAGGCAATGAGAGAAATTATCAATGACAAAAGATATGGTGCTCTGAAAACACTAGGTGAGAGGAAGCAAGCATTTAATGAGGTATTATTTTAAATAGTCTCACAGGACTCCTTTTGTTGTGGATTAGTTTAATTACATTTAGATGGTATTGTGCTCGGAACGGTGTACCCTTTCCTTGTTGTGTGGTGTGTTCAAGCCATGTTTAATGATGTCTCCGATCTTGTCTCATCAACATAAAGTTAATACGCATCTGTTCTGTTTCAGTACTTGGGTCAAAGGAAGAAGCTGGAGGCTGAAGAGAGGCGCATGAGGCAGAAAAAAGCTAGGGAAGAATTCACGATAATGTTGGAAGTATGTTGGCTATTATTTTCATGTAAAAGTAAATCTCCTCTTCAGAGCACATGTTTTGTAACTCATTTTCCTACCTCTATCCTTTTTTCAGGAGTCCAAAGAACTCACATCATCCACCAGATGGAGGTTCTCTCCTTTTCCTGTATCATGAATAGTTTTATATCAGATGAATTGTGACAATGATAAGTGTTTTAAATGTTGCGATTGAACTTTTGTGCCTGATCAGCAAAGCTGTAAGTATGTTTGAAAATGATGAACGCTTCAAGGCTGTTGAACGAGCTAGAGATAGAGAAGATCTTTTTGAAAGCTACATTGTGGAACTTGAAAGGAAGGTAACAGTCTACTCTTTTACCTAGTTCATTTATAAATCACACGGTGAAGTACTGATTCATAAGTAACTACAGATTTGTATGTACCAATGTTTATGTGTTTGTATGGTGAAATTGTATACTTGAGCGCAGGAGAAAGAAAAGGCTGCAGAAGAGCATCGTCGGAATGCAGCAGAATACAGGAAATTTCTAGAATCTTGCGACTTCATTAAGGTATACTACATATATTAATAACCAATTATTTATTGTGAATACTTTTTATTTATACCCCCTCACAAATTGGCTGCCATTTGCAGGTGAATAGCCAGTGGCGAAAAGTTCAAGTTCGCCTGGAGGATGATGAGAGATGCTTGCGCCTTGAGAAGCTTGATCGCTTGCTCATTTTCCAGGTATATTCTCTTCTTTTTTTTTTACTATTATTTTTTTTTTCTTTATCTAAAAGCTTTTTTAAAAAATTGGAAAATATATATTGCTTGTTTACATTTGTCCTTTTGTGGTTGTCTGCGGCAGGACTACATCCGTGACCTGGAGAAGGAAGAAGAGGAACAAAAGAAGATACAGAAGGTATAGTCCATATTAATGAGCTTTTATTTCTTATATTGTCTACTTATTTTATTTTGACCAAATATAAGGAACAATTGAGGCGAGTTGAGAGGAAAAACCGTGACGAGTTTCGCAAGCTTATGGAAGAACATATTGATGCTGCTGCTCTTACTGCTAAAACTCCATGGCGGGATTATTGTTTGAAGGTAGTCAACCTCTCTTTCACTTTTGTGTGTAACATTTGAAGAAGGAGATGCAGTAGATTAAAAGAAATCATAACAGTCTTTATAGGAGTGGGTCTCTTATTGAGTGTTGCTATTTCTGGATGGTAGGTTAAGGATTTGCCTCAGTATGAAGCTGTTGCATCAAATACCTCTGGCTCAACACCTAAAGACCTGTTTGAGGATGTTACTGAAGAATTAGAGAAACAGGTAAGGATTCTTTTTGGAATTGTCTATTGGTTACTTAATCCACTTTGGAGCTTCCAAATAAGATATGATCTTCTTGTTTTGTTTGATGGCTGTTGGAAGAAAAAAATGATATTTTCCCTCGCCTCCCAAGTGTTGGAGGTTTAAAATGACTTGCATGTGATGTTTAAAATTCTAGATTTGTGTGATGCTAGTTCTTGCAGTCCATCTCAACTAATTTTGCTCGAGTCAATATTTTGTTTACAGATTTGGATGATGAATTTTTCTGATGCTACTATTGAGCTTCCCTCAGACTTGAGCTGTCCTATTTTCATGGTTTTATTAATTTTTTTATAAAAAAAATTTTGTGATGCAAGTATTTTGAGGCACTGACTTAACATTGCGTCCAGTCATCCAGTTTAATATTATTATATATACGCTAGATGTAATTAAAACCTTTAGATGCTTTTGATTGCATGTACGAGTAACATTATCCCTTCTGTTTATTGACAGTATCATGATGACAAAGCTCGTGTGAAAGACACACTGAAGTTGGGGAAGGTTGGTTTTTGTGAACTTCTATGGCACTTGAAGAGCATGCATAGTTTATAACTTTTCCCTCCCTCTTCAGGTTTCCTTTGAATCCAGCTGGACATTTGATGACTTCAAGGCAGCTATCTTGGAAGACATTGGTTCTCCTCCAATATTAGAGATAAACTTAAAGGTACGCTTCTTTTTTTTTTTTTAAATACAATTTAAGAGCATCTTTAATGTATTGTGAAATTAATATGCCAATGCCAAATTTAGGCACTTAGATAAGAAAACTACTCTCCAGTGCAACGCTATTTTATTTTTGTTGCTAGATTTGGCATTTAGTTGCTGTTGGTTTGTGTAGACCTTTTCTTTCATTTACAACATTGACATTTATAAGTTTCCTTATACACCAAAGCTTGATAATTAGGACAAAAGGTAGTAAGCATTTGAAATATCATTATGCATAGAATGAATTAGACTAACATATCAAATATACCATTTTCACACTTCTTTTTGTTGCCGAATATAGCATTGGCTGCATTGGAGATATAAGATGTTTTCCATTTTTGCGGGAGGCATGGTTTATATATGCACACCATCTATTCTCGTGCTTCTCTAACACGTAGTTTCTTTCTTGAAGCTTGTATATGAGGAGTTACTAGAGAGAGCCAAGGAGAAAGAGGAGAAAGAAACTAAAAAGCGTCAACGTCTTGCTGATGACTTCACTAAGCTATTACACAGTAAAAAGGTATAGCTAAATAGCGTGCTATTTAAGGAGAGAAGTGTATATTGCAGCGTGCTCACTGATGCTATACAATTTTGATTGTTGTGCTTGTAGGAAATAACTACAACTTCTAATTGGGAGGATTGTAGACAACTTTTTGAAGAGTGCCAAGAATACAGGTTCACTTACCACAAAATTGAGAATGTCTGTTGCAATCTCTAATGAGATTAATTTTTTAACTCTTTTGAAATTGTCATTAGAGCAATTGGTGAGGAGAGCGTGACAAGGGACATTTTTGAGGAATACATTACACACCTACAGGAGAAGGCTAAAGAGAAAGAACGGAAGCGCGAGGAAGAAAAAGTATGTGGTTTGGATTTGGTTCCATGGATTAGAGTTTGTTCAGCAAGTTCTTTAGAATGCATTCATGTTTGATATTGTTTGGCCAATGCGTTTTGATCATTTGATTGTATGTTTTATATGATCTTTTAATTGTTGCAGGCCAGAAAAGAAAAGGAGAGGGAGGAGAAGGAGAAGCGAAAAGAGAAGGAGAAGGATAGAGATCGTGAAAGGGAAAAAGGGAAGGAACGATCTAAGAAGGAAGATACAGATAGTGAGAACATGGACATAACTGATAGCCATGGTAATAAAGAGGATAAGAAAAGGGAAAAAGACAGAGACAGAGACAGAGACAGGAAACACCGGAAGCGGCATCAAAGTGCTACAGATGACATAAGTTCAGATAAGGATGAGAAAGAAGATTCTAAGAAACGCAAACATAGCAGTGACCGCAAAAAATCAAGAAAAGTACTTTGATAACTTTCGAAGTTAGCTTTCCATTTCTGATGTCTTTGAAAGGTTCTAATCTCATCTGTACTTGGATTTCATACATTTCTTTTCCCCGACATTTCTTGGCAGCATGCTTACTCACCCGAATCAGATGGTGAAAGCCGGCATAAAAAGCACCGGAGAGACCACCGGGACTCCCGCAGAAATGGCGGACATGAGGAACTTGAAGATGGAGAGCTTGGGGAGGATGAAGAAATCCAGTAGTCGTATTGGTTTGTGGAAGATTCAGGTAATTTCATGGCCTAGACATAGTGGACACATCTTCGTCGGGCATACATAGTATGGTTTCAGAGATGATACGGTGTATGCATTGTTAATTATGACAGTAGGACTAATTTGTAACAAATTGTGTTCCTGAATGACGTATGGAAAGGTATGTTGGATTTCTGTGTTAGCATGGGGCGTTTAGGAAAAGATCAACGGGACATGTAATGGAAAAATGAACTAGTGATTTGTAGGAAAGCACAAGGGTCAAATAATACGAGCACTTCTAATTATTTGCATTTTTTTATTTTTTTATTTTTCAATAAGACCGAGAGACTTGATTTGTTACCTACTTCCGGATGCCATTTATAAATGTTGCAGTGGCTGGCAAGTGGTGCTTTCTCTTGCGCCAGCATAATCTGTTCGTATTTACAAAGTTAAGAGCAGGAGAAAAAAAAAAAGAAGTAATATATCATCAGATAACTGAAATCTGACTAGTATGCCTTGCACTGATGGTTAACAACTGGATAAAGTGGTTGGTGCTTGTATTTCAATTTTCAGCTGTATTTATTGAACAGAAAACGACAAGAAATTTTTGTATCCCAGAACTACATGTCGTTTCACATCCAAGGACACGAACCTTCAAAATTAGGACGACGTGTCGTTAAGATTCATAGTCAACTAACATAAATTTTACAGCACATCGTTTTGAACGAGCATGACGAAAAGTAGTTGGAATATATCAACATCGATGCTAAATGTTCGAACTTCTAATGAGCCCTTTTTAACGTACCCACTTTACGTGCGTAAACGGGGTGCTTTCATTTCATGTGCTCATGTTTATGATTACCTCACTTTCAATGACGTGATGAATAAATATCTTTTGTAAAGAAAACGCTCTCCGAGGAAGTGAGGCTGAGAGTAAGGTATTGCATATAATTAATTAACAGGAACTTTTATGATAATGCGTTTCTTAATATCACAATGTATGCAAATCATAATAATGAATGAATATATAACTAGCTAAATTCAATAAAAATATGATTACTAAGATACATTTACTACCGGCGAGTAGGAAAAAAAAAGTACTATGTTACAAGTCCCTTGCTCAACAAGTGATTGGTGCCAAAAAATCTCAGTTGCTTAATTCAATAACAAAGTCATTCACAATCTCTTCTGCAAGGGAATCTCCAATCTCTGAACAAATTTCCCCCTTTTCTTGGTCAAAACCAAACCATTCTTGAGCAGAATCGAAGAAGTCCAAACCCAACAAATAAGTTATGTTATTGGTCTCATCTCCAACTTGTTTACCCCACGCCTTCATTTTCTCCCAAACAAGATTCCCAAGCTCCTCAGGCCCCAAAAGTCCTTCACACGTTTTCACTTTTTCCTTCTTTACTTGGCTTTCCACAATTTCTCTCACACAGTCAAACAAAAGCTGCCTTGTTTGTTGTAGCATTCTCTTGGATTTCAGAAACTTTGATGAAGTATTATTAGACTTGATGAGCTCCAATATTGGAATATCATCAGTAACTCCAATACCATTTCTGATTGGCTTTTGTGAATCAGAGTGAAAATGTAATTCACAGAGAGAAGCTGAAAACATTGAACTTAAATCTTCAGTACTGACCAATTTGTTGGGCAGAATGACCGTACAAGTCATTTCAATATCCTCTTGATTTTGCCTTGTTCGAACTTTGAGTTGGGCTGTTTATTTAAACAAACAAAACCCAATATAGATTCAGAAGAAAAAAAAATATTGTGGATTAAGCAAAGCCAAAATAATTATTAGGTTATGTTTCAGAGAGAGAGTACTGACATGAAGGTAGTTGTTCTAGTACTGAAAGGGGGCTGTGCTGTTTATTGTTTGCCGTGAATTGACATTGAAACTCTCCACCTACATAAACCTGTTGGCTTTGTTAACAAACCTTACCAAATTAACTACACATAAGTGATCTTATATAGTCTTAAACTAAACCAAAATTTTTAGCGAAAAATACGAAAAGGGTGCTAAGGAAATTAGCATTCATACCTCTTTCTCTGTTACATAGCTGAATCTCAAAGCTTCCAAAGTGTTTGCTGCAACAACTGACTCATGATTTTCACGCAATGAATTGGTCGGTGATCTAGCTTTATCACTCTCGGAGCACAAATTAAACACCGTAGTACTACTAGCTGAAGAAAACCAATCTGGTTCAGCTACTACTTGGCCATTATTGTCACTAAATTTTCCCCCACAACTCTTAGTGTTCCTCGATTTAGTGCTGTGAGTAAACTTGTTAACTAAAGCTCTCAATATTCTTGAACATCTAGGAATACCCTTTTTCGAGACCTTGTTTGAATTGCCATTGCAGCATCCAAAACCGGCTTCTGAGTTCAAATTCAAGCCTTTTTTCAGATACCCTCTATCAACCAAGTAAAGGTCAAGGACAAAAGGCTCTTGTTGTTGTTGTAGAAGCTCTCCAAGTTGTTTAGCAGGTTTGGTTATTGTGGAAGCCATAACAAAAATTGTGAGCTTAGTGAATGAGAAAATATGAGGATATTGGTTTTGCAAGTGTAGTTTGATCAATTGGAAGAGGATACGGTTTTGAGGTATGGGAGAGTAAATTGAGGATTATACGTGTCTGTCAGTTTGGGAACTGAACAAAACAGAGAGAAAGGGAAGATCGTGCATTTATTGAGACTTTAGAGAGAGAGAAAGAGAGAGGAGAGAGGAGAGAGAGTCCAAACAATCTAGGTTGTACGTCTTTAAATGCTGGGGGTAGCTTATTCCAACTTTCCAAGATTGCCTGGACGCAGAAAAAGTTGTAAGATTTGGGTGTGTTATTTATCTTTTGTCTTTGGTTCTGGTCTGTTTTGCATAAGAAAACAAATGATTGCACGTCTGTTTTCTATCTTTTCTTGGTCAAAGCTCTATCTCTCTCTGTGTATGCAAACACATAGAGAGTTGATAAAAATGGTCCCCCAACAAATTTTGTCTTGTCTGTGAGAGAGAGTAACCAAAAAAAAAAAAAAAAAAAGGAAGGCTGGTAGGAGCAGCAGGGGCAAATTGAATGATTCTGCTTGGAGTCATAACTCAAACCCCATAACGTATTACATAATAGGGATTGCAACACAAATCTCTCTTATTGTTTTATTAAATTAATATGTTCCACCTTATTATACTTATATGCGGAATGTTGCATGTAATTCTCGTATTTTACAAATCGTGTTAAAAATCTCTTTTATTATTTTGTGCAAAGTTAAAAGCGGTTTTTTACTCGATGACGTTACATATAAGAGCTAGTTTTTACTTTTAACACACAACAGTTTAATAAAACGCGGGTAGATCTTTTGTTATTATCCCTACACATTATTGTTACGCAGCATAAAACATGTGTTGTTTGCATGTGTCATGATAAACGGGTTTTCTGGCTTCTGCCCCTTCTATAAAGGCAGTAAGGCACTTTGATATTTTCTTTATTTTGTTCCAATAAAGAAGAAAAGGAAAGCTGATAATGTCTTTATTGGGGCAGGCTCTAGATATCGGGTAAAAGTAAATGCAAGCATAATCATGAACATGGGAATTCGGGGACCAAGAAAGGGAGTAAACGCTATGACATTTGTGAGTTTCAGGTGACAAATCATTTTTGTTAACAAGTACGGTATAAATTTTCTCGAGAAAATCTTCCAGAAATTATGATAACTAGTCAATCTCTCTTTGATTTCAACTCTTTTCCTGATCATGATATGAGTAAAAGATTCTCGTTGCTCACAAGGATCTCACTAAGGAATACAAAATTGAAACTAACCATAAAGTTATTGATGCTATTCTTTCTTCTTGTCCTTTTGAAACATAAAATGAAAAGAAAAAACTGGTCCTTTTGTCTTCATTCTCGATAAAGACAAAATTCAATTCCAAATGTGTTTGTTATAACATCAAGGTCTACCAACATTAAGAGAAACTTGTTAGATAGTCTACACCAGCATAGAGATGGAATTTTCGGATTGATTTCTTTTTAAAAGAAAAACCACGATGATCCAACTAAAGGAATATGTGAATCTGATATAATTTTCATGTTAAACCTTAATCTGATATAATAATGTCCCCGTGAATTGGCCATTATGCAATAATCACGGAGTCTAATTAGTGTGAAGAATCTGTTGTACCTAACTTGAGACACTTTTACTAAATATTTGTCCATGTGGTGAATAATCTATAGATTCTTTTATTATTTTGGATTATGGTTGTGGTGGGGTATCTATATTTGAGTTTGTTTTGCATTATGTTGATGGGATGTGGCATAGGTCTCAATTTCCGTCACAATCTTATCAACATCTTTAACGCACTCGATTAAAGAACAAGTGCGCCATTACTTTTAGGGCTAATTGAAATCTTGAAAATTTTTGCTTTGTCAAGTTTTTAAAAATACACTTTGAAGGGAGAAAAAGAAATGATATATTGTCCAACTTTTCTTGTTTCAACAAAAAATAAAAAAAAAATAAAAAGTTCACCTTTCTCCATTTCGAAAGGAAAAGGTATGAGATAAATTATGAGCTATTCGAGTTTTTAATTTGAGATGAGATGTGATTTTATGTGAGAGTTTTTTATTAAAATAAAAAAATTAGATGTGATTATTTCTGAAAATTTTTTATTATAACAAAACTCAAATTTTAAACTTAAATCGGTGAAATGAAGAAAATTTATATCTAACCCATTACCTAGGTGTGGCAATGGGCAGAACACGTCTCCTCACATTGTTTATGAGAAATTGCTATTTGTCCTTTTGGCCATTAAGACGACTTTTGTTTTTCTCGCTAGAAGGAGCCACACGACATTAAGGTAATGAGACATGGTGATGGTAATTATCAATACTTTATCATTTTTTTTTTGTTTTTTTCCCCAAATAAATAAAAAACCAAATAGAGATTGAAGATGAGCCACATAATGTTCACGTCCTTCATCCTTGCTGTATCCCCAAAAAAAGTAAAATTGAAGCACGCAAAGCGCAAATACTCTGTTATACTCTACGCTCCAAAAGTATAAAAGTGACTTATCATGCAAACAGTAATCAAAGAGCGATACCTCTACTAACATATGCATAGCTAATATACTGTACACATATAGTTACATAGCTCTGTGGGGCATCGAATTTTCAAACACCTAGCAATGCACTGGTCCGATATGGAATGGCCGAAGGGCATGCAGTTAAAAAAGAATCCCAATCTGTAAAGAAAGGCTCTCATGAATACGCTGTTTATCCAATCAACAAAAAGAGAGAAGACACTTTCTTCTTGCTGCAGGATTGAATTCATCTTATTTCTCAAGCGGTCTGAGATATTGGATATTCTGTTGTATTGGCTTGAGAGAAAAATCTAAACATATCTTTAAATGGTTCATGCCCATTTTATATCCTCAGCAAAAACATATACTGAATGGTCTACTTGCTAAAAGTTTATTAATTGCTGATCGGAAATGTTCAAGAATCAAGTTATAATGAAAATAAATAGAAGTTCGGAGTACTGGGCTTGTCCTGGAACAATTTAGTGTATGAAACAACGACAAGAAAAGTATGAACATTTAGAAGACTAGTATACAACCGAGATAGAATGAGCTCACAAGTGAAGCATAATAATAACCTAGGCAAGGAAACTAGTCAAGTGACTTCTTGTAATAAATCTTCAACACCCGAAGGATTTGGGTGCTGAAACTGGATTTTCAGCTCTCAGTTTCTCAATTTTCGACTTAAAGTCACTGTGAAAAGACACAAGTGATGTCTTCCGACGGGCAAAAGCAACACTGAACTGTTTGATCTTCTCTTCAAGATCTTTCCTTCTCTGGAATTCAGTGTTCAGACCCTTCAAAACATTTTCCTTCTGGTCAGTAACAAGTGCGAGTTTCTGAGACGATTCGGAGGCTGTTTTGCACAAAGAATCTCTTTCTTCTTTCAGATGTTGATACTCAGTTTCCAAATTATTGTATCTTCGCTTAGATTCCTCCAGAAGCAGGTTATTAATGTGCAACTCTCTCTCCAGGTCATGATATCTTTCCTTGACAATGTTGAGTTCATTGCTCAAATATTCCTTCCAACATGTAGTTCTTCCTTCCAGAGCGCAGTCCTTTATCACACAAAAATCCTAAATATGAGAGGGGAAAACACCTTTCATTTTCTTTTAATCTAAGTTCTGACTGCTGATGTCTGTTTAAAATGTTCTTTTCTTTCTGGTGATACAACATTAAAAAGTTTGATGAGTTTATCTGCTGATGTGTACCATGAAGGAAACGGTTAGGTTAAGGTAATAGGGGGAAAATTGATTTATTTTTCCATTGTTCAATAGAGAACCATTATTGTAAGAAATAATTAATTCCTCTAATTTTTTTTGTAAAGGAATACAACTTAGAAGAAATCTAACTATAAGCCTACTTATTGGCTCCTAATATCGTTTTATACAAGAGAATGAGACACGAAAGTTTTAGAGACACATACAGTTAAAGAAAAAGCACCCCAGCAATATGGTAGAAAAGAAAATCACAACTAACGAATTATGTCTTGATAGTCGTGAACAGGCAGCTACCTTGTGTTCACATCTGCAAAGTGAATTCATCACATTGTGATCCTCAAGGCTTGCTCTTTCTGATGATACCAAGGATGTGATTGTGGTCTTCATTCTCTCACAGAGAACTTTGTGCTGTTCTTGAATTAGATGATCGTTCCGTGAAAAAGGACTCTCCAGTACCATTGAGAAATGGGTTTCCAGAGCTGTGAATAAGCTCCAACCAATTTCGCTCATGCTTGATAGTAATTTTGAGGTGGAAGATTTTCCGTCGGATATAAAACTCTGTAAAGACAAATTGCATGGCAAGTATGTTATGCGCTGCGATTGAATATCAGCAAATAGAGGTCGGAAAGAAGAAATTGACAAGCGAAAATAGTATGACCTGTGTCATTGATAAAACGTCAATGTAAACATCTTTGCAATTTGCTGCACATTCACAAAGCTTTCGAGGGATTTCTTGAATTAGCCGTGCTTCTGCTTGAAGTTCAGATAACTCGCTCATCAATTGATTATTCAATAATATTTGTTCCGTGTGCTTCCTCTGTAAGCATAAGGTCCCAATATACAAAGTCAGTTTTGCCTTTTTTTATTTTTTTAAGGGATATACAAAGTCATATAGATAATTGAGAAACATAATACTATCCAGCATAGGAATAGGAACACGGTTGAAGCAGGATTTGCAGTTGCACATAGCACACAGAAAAAATAGAAAGATTCAAGATAAAATTATGGATTTCGCGGTCTGTACATGTGGTTTAAATAACAAGATCCAAGAAAAGATAAGGAAGGTGACATTACACTCACCTTTAGTTCATCTCTCTCGTAAATGGCAAGTTCTAATTGTCTCTTAAGATTTTGAACGTCCTCTTTGTAGTTTTCGTTTGAACAACCCTGATAACAATTAGAGTTTAAGAGACCAATCAAAACAATTTTTTAAAAATAATAGGCGAGCAGAAGGTATGGAAAAAGACTGTATATTGCCGTGAAAAGAATGATTTACAGTGCTTTAGTTAAATAGAAAATACAAGGAGTTAAAATAGAAAACTACAGGTTGTACACTAACAAAATTTCCTAATTTTTAGTTATTGACTATCTATATTTACACACCTATCATATCCCCTAAAATCTGGTTCTATTGAAACCAAATATCTCCTAATTCAACAAAAATTAAAACTTTATGTTCTAAAAAGAAAATTAACAGGAAGAGGACATTAGTGCAGTACTCAACTAATGATCGTGTACTTTTTTCTTATCTTGTTTCAATTATGTTATATCAATTCGTGTAATCACCATACAAGTAAATAAGCAAAACAAAGAACCTAAAAATTTGAAAGTTGAAACAAACACAATCAGTTTCAGTAAAGTGTAAAGAGAAACACGAACTCACAGGAGTTACTTCACTTGAAGGAAAAGATTGAACTTTCCGTGCAGGAGTGATTTGAAGAGAATCGAGGTCAGCTATGTAGCCTCCATTCATTTTCAGCCATGTGTCCTCATCAGCTACAGCACTCATAGTATCTGGAAGAGGACTACAATGAGGCAACGAAGAATAATTAGATCGTCTGGCAACAAAGGCATTGGAAGCGGCCTTGAAACAAGGGGTTGCAAAGCTATCTCCTCGACTTATGCCGTTACTGTCATTATATCTTCCAGAATCTTGACCCTACAAGTAAAATTTAATGTCAATAGCAAAAGCAATAATCCAAATACACATTTAAGTGAATAAATATCTGAAACCTGCCTAAAATAACAACTGAATCCTTGCATGAGTACTAACATCTGCATATTATAGCTATATATTTGTTAAATACAAAGATGTTCACCTCTGCAACAAGACCAAAATTTTATGCTAATCTAGTTATCTTTATGATGAAACTTTTCGACAAGCATATACTTATCCAAACAGCATGCTATTGACATTTCAAATTTGACTGTAATACAGTAAGGAGTAAACACTAAACATATAGTTATTCTAATGGAGCCAATTTTTTTAAAAATACCGACTAAGAAGTCAGTAAACTAAAGCCAAATGTTTATGTTACGCCAAAATGCTATACACTCAAAGAGCCCCTCCTTGGTTATATCCAAGACAGTATCCTTAATGTGCGGCAACAAAAACAAAATGACTAATGACTATAAAATAAAAATAAGACTGTACGATGTAGTGGCATGGGTTTCTTATACGACTTGCAATTTGTTATCCAGATTGCAGAAAGTACAAGGCTACTGTGAGGCTTAGGTGAGTTGTGTCGTGAGAGGGTCATACTCTGGAAACGGCAAACTGTCGGGAAAGAAATAATATTCTAGGTAGAGAGTTCTTTAACATAACAACTATTTTGTAGCCATAGCTTTGCATGAGCTATACCTGACTAGAGCTCCGGTCAACGTCTGAAAAAGTAGCAACATTACTCATCTGCAGCTCCCTTTCCTTGTGAGATTTTCTTTCCTCTTCTAGTTCCATTTCTAGCTTTTCACGCTCTAATTCATACTGAAAAGAAAAAATAGAATAGTGATCATGATTTAATTATATCTATACTAAACACGTGTGATTTAACTCTTTTTAAGTCTTAACAAAGAATATACTACCTTGAGCAAATCGTTGCGTAATTTTAAGATTTGTTGCTCCAGCACCTCAGAATGAGATCCCTATATAAATATTAACGACGTTAGCTTGTCTTAAAATCCTTTTCTTGTCATCTTGTGTCAACAAGTAAAACATGATCATCACCTGAAGCTTCTTACGGAGCTCTTCTATTTCTTGCTTTTGCCTCTTCAACAAGGCTGCTTCTGTCAAAATCTACAGCAACTTTGATTATGACTAAGGTTTCATGTATTTACAAGGAGTTTTTTATGTCACCAAAAAAAACACAATTTACAATTGTTGCGAGTAACCAAAGAAATGTATCACAGTATCAAGCTATCCAGTCCCATAGGAAAAGTATATGTAAAGATGAATATTGATTAAATACTGAAATACGGCGCACCTCATTAACTTGAATACAGTTGGCAATGCGCTTGGCTCTGCTAGCAAATTGGAGAGTTCCCTTGGTTTCCTCAACGTGTATCTAAATGTTTCAGTAACAAAGTTTAGTTAATCGTCCCTAAATTTATTTTCTTTAGAACAACGTGGGTAACAAATGGTATGCTACCTCTTCCGGTGCTACAGTGCATATAATGGAAGTTTTGGCATTCCCACCAAGGGCAGGTTGAAGTATGCGGGTCAGTTTACTATCTCTATAAGGTACATGGCCTCTGCATTATTAGAAGTTGTTATTAATAAACATATAATTGCTTATTCAAACGAAATGATTTAAAGAGAAGAAAATACCTGTTCTTTGCCCCATCACTTAGTTTGTTAATCACGTTTCCCAAAGCCATTAAGCTCTTGTTAATGTGCTTTCCTTCCTTCAAACGTACTCCACCAGCTCCGGTTTTGGCAATCCGTTCAGACCCAGCTAAATCGACCAAATTCTTTATTCCAAGCATTGAAAATAACATGAACAACAAAACTATGTAAATCAAACATAGAAGAGTTGCGGTCATTAAAAACAATACAGAACCGGTTGTTTATTTGGAGATCATCTACTTTACCCACATAACAAAAAGATACCTACCAAGACTGAGACACGAATTGTATCAAAGCTTAAACAGTCGCCAGAAGAATTGGTATCCTTCCCCTTGCTTTCAATTATCTATATGCATAAGATATACAACATAAATTAAGAGTGCATAAACTTTCTTACGAGATTCCTCTTGTAACAAAACATATTTTGAAGACTGACCATTCTAAATATTGTGTGCGATCTACTGCTTCGAATATTCATATTTGTCTCACCGAAGTGCCTATTAGCTGAAACAGACAGTTTTCAGACATATATAAGCCTGCGCTTTGATGAAAAAGATGAAAAGGTAAATCCCAAGGCCTATAAACTTTGCTTTCAAACCTTCTCCTGATTCAAGTAGCTTTAACACCTGCGCAGCATTATTGACAATTTCCTCTCTGAGGCCAGCAACAAATATGCCACGCTGGAAAGAAAGAACCAACCAATTCATTATCCAATAGATCTAAGGTTGAGTCTTGCAAATTGTTAGAAAGTGTCAATAGCCGACCTCCAAGCTCTCATGAATTTGCAGTTTCTGGTTCTCTACTACAAAAAGATCATTAATTTCTTCGTTGTAAATTTCCATGTACGAGACTCGAATCAAAAACTCTCGATCTGACATCTGTGACAATAAAACAAAATTAAGTAAAATATACTTTAACGCTTAATTTTGTAATGCATCAACTCTAGAGAGTAGAGACAACCGTATGGGGTGTTACCATTTGAATCCTTTCAAATATGTCTTCGACTGCCTGCTGAATAATTCCGGGATCTCTTTCAGAACCGTTCATGGTGAAAGTCTTGCCACTGCTCGTCTGTCCATATGCAAATGCGGTGCCTGTAAACATTACAGGAGATTACTTCATCTTAATATCCAATTGTCATGGAGCATAAAAATGAGCAGGGTAAAATCGTTTTAATTCTTGTAATCAGGCATGTCAAATTCATTTAACAAGTGATTTTATTGTACAATGACAGGAATGACAATCACGATGCCCGAAATAATGAAGAAAATAATCAAAACCATTATTTCTGGTTTTTCACGATACTCTACTTTAATCTCATTATTTCTGGCTTTTCATTCAACTTTGATCGAAAGAAATATATTATTTACCACTGCAGAGTTCCCAGTAAATAAAATTAGCCTCACGCTATTCAAATACCCTTAAGTTAATCTTCTTAGTAAAGAGGGGAAAAAAAAAAACTTCCTATCCGAACAAACGTCCTCAGCTTAGCTAAGAAGTTTGAAATTCCAAGATTTCAACCTAATATCTTTTCCCATGTTTTGTCAGCAACTAAACAGAGACCTCGTACTCGAAAATCTGCAATATGTCAATGAACCTAGAATTCTAATTATTAAAAAAAAAAAAAAAAAAAAAAAACCAAATAGTTCTTCTGATAATCCAATTAAAATTAGTTAATCAAATCAGAAAATATAAAGCCTGGCTCAAAATACCCTTTCCAAAAAATAAATTACAAAATTCAAAGCCTAAGAAGAGAGATAAACCATACCATTAATACCCTCCAAAGCAGCGTGAATTATATCCTTGGTGAGAACCTCATGGACCATAGCATTTGAGCAACTTTCATCGAATACGTGATCTTCACAAACGAGAAAATGAAAATCATACAAGGGAGATCTAACGATACAAAATCAGAAGACGAGCCAAAAGCTTTAGAGATTTACCGAAAGCGTAAGAGACGCCGGAGATGGGGGTTCCATGAGACCTGTGGAGAGAAATGCGGTTGTCGTCGACCTTCCAGAAGGTTCCAGTGGAAGATTCCTCCGAGACTGGAGGTCTCACTCGGACTGCCACGCAGATCTTCTCCATCGCCCACTGCGCTCTCTTTCTCTCTCTCCACTGATCTTTTCTGCGACTGCTGAGGTTCGGCTTCGCTATTCGGAGGCGGCAACACGCCCTATGGCAATTTGAAATTTATTCGATTTACTGAAATCTCCTTTTCCAACGTTTAATTTTTACGCGGGACCCACATGTCTATTCTCCTCTTTTTTTTTTAAACAAAACAAAACGAAAGTATAGATGGCGTCTGGGTCAGAACAGATGTTGGATCTGGACAACGGCCCAAATTTTATGGGCTCAATTCCTACCTTCTAGTTTGGGTCCAATGATTCTTTTTTTTTTCCGCGGATATGATTCCATGTTTTGGGTGATTTACACGCAGTAAAATTTTAAGAGACGTTTGGTTTATGGATTAAAATTATGTGATTAGAATTATTTTTAATTTATGTATATTTTTATGAGAGAAAATACTATAACGAACTATTAACCATTATGGGCTCAATTCCTACCTTCTAGTTTGGGTCCAATGATTCTTTTTTTTTCCGCGGATATGATTCCATGTTTTGGGTGATTTACACGCAGTAAAATTTTAAGAGACGTTTAGTTTATGGATTAAAATTATGTGATTAGAATTATTTTCAATTTACGTATATTTTTATGAGAGAAAATACTATAATGAACTATTAACCATGATTCAAATTATAGTTTGAATCCTCCAACTAAACATCTCCTTAATATCAAAGTCTAAATTAGCAAAATTTTTAAAATATTACGAGAGTAGTCAATTTTTATATCATTTTTATGTCATTAAAATAATGACTATATCATTATGTAATACAAAATATGATATCATTATGATAATTATAATGTCATTTTTGCCATATTTATAATATTCTAAAAATTTTGTTAAATTTCAACTCGTTTTGAAATTTTCCCCAGTAGTATAATTATTACTCCATGGTTTTTGTCTCTTGAAGTATTTACACGAAATAATCATGTTTACCCTCTATGTTTAGGATATGTCTTTAATTCAATAATATTATCAATCTGTCTATTTTATCTGGTTGGTTATAAACTTGTGTAACTAACTTTAAAGATAGTTAACTAGAGATAGAAATATAATCTCTTACGGGTTATGTTAGAGACATGTATGCATTAAAATAGACATATATATAATTACCTCTTTTGTCTTTCCTTATAACTCTTTATATTTGTTTCCCTATTTATTCAAAGTACATATGAGTTTCAAAATTAAGTCATCCCTAATTTTAGAGCAACTTATAAATTCTCAAAAAACAAAAAAAAAAAAAAATCACTCCATTCTCCTTGGCCGGTAAAGATTTGGTAACGATGATAGCATGGTAGCATCACCAGATTGGTATTACGTACGAGAATGACAGTGCAAATCTGATCTAGTCATGAGCTAGCTCATTTTTCTTCCCCTTTTTTATTGAGTGATTCCAAGGTTCTAGAAGGCCATCCACTGAATTTTTTAGGTTATGAGTCACATATTAATTGATTGTGATTTTTCTTGTCGACTTCAACAACCGATACTAGCGGTCATTCAACGAATGACCCCGATTAAGGGTGACGAGTGACTGCGAACACTGGTGATATTGCAACTTAAACATTAACAAACTAACAATAGTCCAATCAGCACAAAAACATAAGGAAAAAAAAAAAACGTGGAGCAAGAATCTAATGGGGGTATCTAAGGAGGGATGACAATCTTTATAAGCATGGCATTACTCTAATTTTCCAAAAGAAAAGGGCAAAGATACAATCTGATTCATTAATAATTTAATATATTGGGCGATAATGATAGTCACTACAAGATTTGACTTTTAACAACTAATTTTTTAGTCATAGAAAGTCTAAATTTAGTCACATAAAACCTTCCGTAACTAAAAAAATATAGTCGCTACTTAGTTGCTAAAAGTCGGTCAGAGAATTTTTCACGACTAAAATTTTGTAGTCACTAGATATTCATGCATTCAATGATTAAAATTTTAGTTGCAAACGTTTTTTAGTTGGTTTGCTTGGTTTGCAAGGATAAACGGTTGATCTTGATACCACTTCAAGCTTACATTTATGCTGGTGATAAGAAATTCTTGATATATATATTCCTTCCATCAGTCTTATACCATGTGCATTTAAATAGTACCACTTTATGGTCTAATAAATAGGTGAGCTCCCAAATATGAGTTATAATACCATAAAAATCACATGTGTTGCCATTATGTTCACCTTCTACCCAAACACCATAATTTTGAGTTGATCGTCCAACATCTCGACTTTCTATATGATATATCGAACTTCGTTTACTATACATCTGCCATATTGATCAATTCGATAATCCGACATACATGATAGAGCATACATAGACTCACTCACTTCACCTGGTGATGATCTACGTGTTGTTTCAATTTGTCATTTATTACAAATGTTAGTGCGGAAAATACTTGTAATAGAACAATAACAAACTATTATATATAATATTCTTACTTTTTTCTTGAACCAAGACGAAACTTGTGATTGTTGGGCCTGAAGGATATTTGTGATGCCTTTGGATAATAATAATTTTAAATGTTCACTGTTTGACATGAAATAATATTCCAATCATTATAGGAGGCTCTTAAGCAAAAGAAAATAAAAAAATTGAAAACTAAAAAAAATAAAACAACAAAACAAGTAAAAGACTCATTTTGTGAGATGATCATTCTCTAATATCCTCTTTGTTTCTTGTTTTAAAAATATAACTATTTAAGGGTTCCATAGAAAATAAGAAACCACTTAGAAAGAGATAAAGTTTTGATAATTTAATTGTATCCTATTTATTAACATTAAAGCCTTTAGATTATTTATATTATATAATTAGAGCAACATCTTTTACTTTATTTTTTAAAACTTATATATATATGGGTATTTACATTTTTTTTATCTTCGTTGTTTAATTGTTTAATTGATTATATAAAAAAATTATATTTCGTTAAAAAAAAGATCTTAGTTATTTATTAATTTTGATACCCAAATAAAATTTTTTACTTTTTTTTAGACTAAATCTTAGTCACTAAAAGATAGATTTAATGACTAAAAGTGTTTTAGTCAATGAAATTGTAAGATTTTATGTTGTTCAATGACTAATAGTTTAGTCGCAAAATACATTTTAAACCTTTAGTGACCAACTTTTGGTCGCTAAATATTATTTTCAATGACTAGGTTATTTTAGTCACAAAAATTTGGTCTTCCCTCCATTTTTAATATTTGGCGCCATAGGTTTTTGCAACTAAAAACGCATTTAGTCACTAAATGTATCTTTCGGCGACTAAATAATTGGTTACTGATGATTTTAGTTCCGAAAATAATATAGCTCTTGACTAAATAATTCCACGACTAAAGTTTAGTCAGTGAAAAATATATTTGGCGACTAACTAGTTTTAGTCACTGAAAGTGTAATTTCTTGTAGCGCAGTTTGATTCCAATTAACCAAAGGAATGAGGAAATTAATTTGGAGCCGATATATATATATATATATGGTTTTCATTGTCCTACTGCGTCTGCAAGGGACATGCTTGAAGATAAACAGCGACGTTGAACAGAAAGTTTTGTAAAGTATAAACAAAAGTTACTTGAAAAAGAGAGGCAAATAAGGTTTTGTGGGAATTATGCGCTTGAAATTTCTATCGTCAATCTAGTAGAATATAATAAACTATTTCTTAAGGAAAAAAGAAATTGAAAGTACGTAGGAGAATATAAACTCTCAACATTAATATAGTAGGCGTTAAAAGAAAATACATACTTATGTTTATTATAGTGCTGATGAATATCCTTTAATTGTACTTGCATTTATATGTCAACGTGACAAAGAAACAACCCTATTTCCAGGATTAAAATTATATATCATGGTCAAGAGGTTACAGTTTACACTCTCTATTTTGAATAAAAAATAAAATAAGTGCTTTGTTTCAATATTTTGGTCGAATCTCCCACCTGCTTTAAGTAACTAAAACAAATAATAATTACTTTTGTTTTACATCTACGCTACACACGTCATTATGTGTATATATAACCAATGACGGAGGGCATAGGGGGGCTGTGGGTGGCCATGGCCCCCCTGAATAAACGCTATTTTTTTTAATATAGTAGAGTTACTTAGATATTGTTTAATTCATGCTAAAAAATAACCATATTTATTTTTTTTATTTTTTATTTTTTTTTAAATTGTTGTCAAATCTTAAAAATTCATAAAACAAAAGATTCATGTTTTTAAATCTCTCATACTCAGAAAAAAAAAAAAAAGAACCTTATTCCATCATTCTCCTTTTCACCTTTATCATTTCTTCACTCTCTCTCCCCCTCTGTTTGGCTCGTGAGAAAATGCACAAACTCTCCAACCATACTTCTATTGAGAAAATTTCTCAAATCTTCTGTTCTTTCTCAGATTATTAGAGGTAAAAAGCACAAACTCTAATCAAATTTCATATTACGAATTCTCTTTGAAAACATTTTTTCATTTAGGGTTTATTTTTTAGTTCATTTAGGGAAGATTTTGTGATCCTTTTTCATTTAAGATACATAGCATGGCAATCTGTTTAAATTTTGTTGTTTTAGCATCCCTTTGTTCTTATTGTTGATTAAGGGATTGTACCGGCTTTAGTTAGAGTGAATTGGAATGCCTTCGTAAAGGCTCTAGAGTTTCTATTGTGTGGGTGGTGAATCTTTTGTTGTTTTATCTTAAATTGATATTTTAAGGTATGTGAATTTAACATGATTGAAGTTCTTTTATTGAGAAAAAAATGTTACTTGTAAGTGTATAAAATATTCTTTTCATTTTTACAGGTAATATTGATGTTTTCATATGTTGTATAATCATGATAAAAAAAAAAATTTTAGCCTCTCCTATCAAAAAGTCCTAATTCCGTCACTGTATATAACCCTCAGTTAAAATGATGAACACAACTATAATCACAAGTATGGTCATTCGTATAAAAACGTCCCCTGTGATAATATGAATTCAGTATATTATGTGTACAAAAAACGAATATTATTTTTATGATTATTAAATTAGTAGGATATGCCGACTTATTATTGCCACCAAAAAGCA